TTGACTGTTTGGCCGTGGGGGATTCAGTGCGGGTAGATAATACAATTGCTGTCGAAGAATGGAATCATCATGAGCTTCCCATTGAACCGCAGCCTAATCTTCTTGGGTCTTGGGGTGAAAGAATGTTTCCATTGGCTCTCTCACTCTTGGTCTCTGGATCATAACAGAAGACCTAGCTCTCCTCAAAGGCTGCCAAGTACTGTCATCAACGCGCCTCTATCTTCGATCATATTTGAGCCCCCCACACACACACCTGGGAACAAACTTTGCGCATGGTCATGAATGACTCTGTGAACCGAACCCCCAGCCACTTCAAATTGTTTAGCAATCGTCAGAATAGATGCACAACGGTTCGCGTCCAGAGATCTTCGAATTATACCGACCAACTTTGGCGTCTTGATGTCCATATCCCTACCACGCATCTCGGCGTCCCTCAACTGCTCCCTACTTTCCTGGAACATCTTGGGCTAGCAGAAAACTGACGTTCGGCTCATGAAAGTTAGACCGTAAATAGTTTCTACTATGCCGAGCTTGATGCAAAACTATATTGCATATCGTGCATCCAGGTTGTCCTCACGTCATGACTGCATTGCAGAACCAGTCACCTGTGACAAAACGTGTATGACGGTTAATGTTTAAAGTGTCGTAGCAACCCGAACGTACCTCAATTAAAAGTGCCTCAAAAGAAAAAGTATGTAAACTTCTTGATTGTACCTTGTATTTTCGACCATTGAAAAAGAATAAAATTAACAAATCGTTCATTTTTTTTTACCAAATTGACACTACGACACATTCCTTATTTTGCAATATTATCAGCATTATGCGGGTTTGAGCATAACACTAAACCAAGTTAAAGGTTTACATGAAATCTACTCCGACCGCCAATTGCAGAAGCACGTAACATCACATTTGATCAGAATGAAAGACAAAACTTCGTACGTAAAATGCGTTGAGATTTTTTAGAATACGAGAGACCATAAATTCAACGAATAAACTCTTTTGGTGGTAAAATAGACATCAGGATTATTTTTGCCGGTAAATATAAATAGTGTTTCAGAACTAAGAATATATATATATATATATATATATATATATAAGGTGTATCAAAAATACTTTTACGAACTTTTAAGGCGTATTCCTCAGAACAAATCAAGAACAAAAGTCCATATAAGGATATGTCCGCAAATCTTTCCTTTTGGAATGATTGAGTTTAAAGTAAGTTTACTGTAGATCACGCTGTTTTGCCATGTAAACTAGATTACATTTGTCATTCGTGGAAATTTGTGGCTAGTATGTCCTAAACGTTTAACGTGTATAGTAGTGAGTTCCCTGAGAAATGTTCCATTCATATTGTGAGCAGGCTGCACGGCTGTATGTGATTGCATTGCCAGACCAAAAATAGAAATCTTTGCTGCTGCTTATTGTCGCGTTACTGAGACAGGATCCATGGCACCACAAACTATGGATCGAGGAAGACCGACATCACCTCTTAAACCTGACCACGAAGAACACATTCTAGAGGCTGTGGGAGACGATCCAACTAAGGGTATACGTCAAGTGCGCCTAGCATATCGTACATCTCATAGTATCCATATCATTTGCAATGTGTGCATGGTCTCTCGCCCTCTGATCACTCACCACGGTAGAACTTTTGGGGATGGTTTATTGTACAAATTGCCGATCCGTTGTTTGTCTCTTCAGTCTTGTTTACGGATGAACCAACATCTGGAAGAGATGGAATAACAAATTTGCACAACTAACATTTGTAGGCCGATCGGAATCCCCATGGTATAATAGAGGCTAGACTCCAGCATCATTTCACGATTAATGTGTGTGCTGGAATTGCAGGTAACTATCTGGTAGGTTCATATGTTCTCCCAGCACGTCTTGCAGGAGCTGTGTGGAACCTGTCCATTCAGTTTGTAAAAGTGTTTTAGATACACACACACACACACACACACACATATATATATATATATTTAAAGATATTTTTGTAGGTACAAAATTTAATGATCGAAATAAAAGTATAAAATTTAATATTACAAGACATATTAAAACAGTATATTTTATATTACAGTATATTATATATATATATAATTAGGATGCAATGGATAAATTGTCTTCTAAATTACGCAGAAATAAAAATAATACTGACAACTCATTTTAACAGATATATTTACCAAAATTGCACAAAAATATTTTGAAATACTAAACAGTAAATTTATTCAATAAGATCGCCATTGATCTAAACTATGGCTTCCAGACGATTTCGAAATCCTCTGCTTCTCTTCTGGACGGCCTCCTTTTTTAAGTTGCTGCCATAATACTTGCCTTCAGTTCATTTTGATTTTACAAGGAGATTTGTTGGAGTCTGGAGGATTGATTGCAGTTAGGGGCAAGAGATTAAGGGGTGATGTGGTCGCATAAATTATCTGACAGCCATGACTGGGTTCTCTTGCTTGTGTGGCATGATACAGAGTTCTGTTGCCAGACATAGCGTCTTCAAGCAGCCACCCTCTTGACCCAGCGCTGAAATACTTTCTCAAGGTACTTGATGTAGGCCGCCATAATATATATATATATATATATATATATATATATATATATATATATATAAACAATATTCATGCAGTATAGTCATGGAACTCAGTGTTGGATATACTTTCAGTTCATTTGCTGAAACAGAAGAAAACTGAAAAGTTACCAATCCACTATCTACAGTTAAGGAAAATAGACAACAGAACAATTGCTACAGCTCAGAAGGGAATGCAGGCCTGAAGTGCTTAAAATATTCAAAGACTTCTATATTTCTTCTAATAATTGATGACGAATAAATTATTTTAACTTGTGTTTTAACAACTGATGGTGGAAAACATTTTAAATTGTCTGAACAATTGGCGGTGAAAGTAAATAAAATTCTGTGTTAAATCCTTGTGTTGTTATTTTTTAACATTTATAATACTAAATATAAGACAATATAACCTGTGGGGGTCTCTTTTACCGAGACGGGCGAAATAAGCTTAAAAGCACGTTTTTGGCAGCCTATTTTAAATTAATCGACAAAATACTCTTTGTTCCTAAATTAACTCTACCAGAAACCTTTGTTCGATGGTTTATATATCATATATATATATATATATATATATATATATATATATATATATATATATATATATATATATATATTTATTAAAGAAAAAACAGACTTTTTAGGTTCCATTATAATAATTTATTTTACCAGAGCCCTTTTAAGGGACGCTGATCATCAGATACCATTTGAAACGAAAGATGAAATGAAAATTCATACTTTTTGACGGGTAGTATTAAATTTATGTAATTTAACAGAGAGGGTAGCGAGGAGTGATGAGAGACATGGTCGAGTTTAGAGAGGGTTTATTTAATATTTCTTTTCAATCATACTTAATATTGAGGAAGGAGGGGCCAGACAATGACCTATTTAAACGGTTAACTTAATATATATATATATATATATATATATATATATATACTACAGTTCAAATGTATGAAGCCACTCACAGAATTAGCATGTCATGAACTTTACAGAAGAGTGAAAAAACAAATGAAAAACTGCTCTGAGAATAACTGAAAAAAGAATGGAATCAATAATCAAACTCATACTTTGAGAAACTTTTGCAAGGAATGCTAAAAAAGTGTGTTACAGTAATCAACGGTAAAGGAAGATATTTTGAATAGAGCAAATTTAATCATAAAATGCTTTTTTTTGTCATAATATAATTTTGGGACCAATTTAAAAATTACCAAAGGTTCCCTTAAACATTTGAATTGTAGTGTATACTTTATATATATATATATATATATATATATATATATATATATATATATATATATATATATATAGATCCGTTAGTGTCTGTGATATAGTGATTTTCCAAACGTAGTTTGGATGTGGCACAAGGCTGAAAGTAAAGGATCAAGCTCACTACTCAGTGGTAATTGTTCTATAGAGACAAGTTTGTTAACCATTACACCACTTCGAGGTGCCCTAGCATTTGTGATATATGTGCATGTAAAGGATTCCTTCATTTACATATTAGAAGAAGAAGAATAGAAATAGATGGTACATTATTTTTTAAAAGCTAGGCGATAATGCCACTAGGACGCAGGGTATTAAAGGGAGTGAGAGAATAAAATTTTAACGAAGAAAAGTGAGGAAAGGACAATGAAGGAAGAAGGTTCAGGAAGACATTGCGATAAACAGCATTTCAGGAGGGAGGTGTTCATTAATGATGATTTGATTTCCTTCTTGTTTCAGAAAGAGTATAGTTTTTAATTTCTCTCTACGCGATCTTTTATTCTATTTTTTTACATACTTTATTTTACGCAGTCAACGAGTGCAATGCAGTAAATTGAATCTATTTTTCTAAAATCATTTTAACGTAAATAAATCTGCTGTATATCCACCAGAAAAGTAGTTTCAGAGTTATGTGTTCTCTTTTTCTATCCAATTATCAAGATATGCTTACATAAATTCCCATTAACTTAACCTGTATTTTCTTCTCTTCGAACAACTTTTAAATACACGTACAAAACGTTAAAGGGGCCAAGAAAACAAGTCAACCATTACTGAAAATAGAAAATTGATTGTAAAAGGAAAAGTAAACAATTCGCTTGAAAAGCGCCCTCTTTTTCTATAAGTAATTTAAAATTTTGACCCTTATTCTGGTTGTTTAATTTTTATTTTAGATGACTTTGAAAACATTTACGTTGTTGATAACGATGTGAGTCAGTCAGTTACACGCTTGGGCGATCATGTCGCTTTCGATTCATGACTGACGAGACAGAAGTAGGTTGCCGCTTTTTTCTGTGTTCTGTCAACCAAAACTATAGCATTGTCCTATTATTTAACCCATGGGAGGAGAAGAGATGGATTCATACTTTTCCCAAGCGTATTTATTCATAAGTAAACGTAAGTCGAATAAAAAGATAAAATTTGGATATTTTCTCCGGAAATGTTATACTTACGACTATAATTACGGTGAAACACCGGTTTTTGTACGATCACGGAAGTTAAGCAACGTCGAGCATGGTCAGTATCAAGATGGATAACCGTTTGGGAATACCAGATACTCTAAGCTTGGATGTGCGGGTGGTAATATGGATAGTGACTCAGAACTGGAAATTGGAAATTGGAGAGCCGAGTTTGAATTAGGTTGTGGTCGTTAGATTCACTTAGGTTCAAATACCCTTGGGAAAAGTATGAATCCACCACTTCTCTCCCCCAGGCATGGGTTAATTAGTAAAATTTGTATCAGTAATATTATCTCGAAATAAAAATTAAAATCTAGAAATACTTACTGGCTTTATATGATTTGCAGGTCGGGAACACTAGAATCAAGCAGACGCGGAAGTTTAAATATCTGGGACGCGTCTTGACAGAGGACGGTAAGTGCGACATTGAGATCCGAAGACGTTATTGGGATGGCCAAGGACGCATTCCAAAAGCTGGGCAGAGTATTGCGAGACAGAAGGATTTCTTTGGTAACAAAGAAAAGAATACTGAACTGTTAAGCAACATCTGTCCTTCCTTACGGCAGCAATGTGAGACGATTTCCTCAAAGATGAAGAAGAGATTCGAGGCGACGGAGATGTGGTTCTACAGAAGGATGCTAAGGATATCATTGACCGAGCGCGTGAGCAAAGATGAGGTCTTAGAGAGGATGCAAATAAGGAAGAGGCTTACACTTAACATCAGGAAGAAGCAGCTGAAGTTCCTAGGAAACATAATGAGAAAGGAGAGCCTGGAGAATCTGATACTCACGGGTCAAATAGCGGGAAAGTGAAACAAGAGAAAACAACGGATGGCATACCTAGCGGCCTTAAGCAAGTGGATGACTGAACGTGGTCTATGGGAGGTCGTTGCGGGAAAGAACTTGTTGAGACCTGCAAGGTATAGTGTAGGTGGAGAGCCATGATCACTTACGTCCAAAAGGACGCGGTGCATAGAAAGAAAATAAATGAGTTGATAATACGTAAATAAATCAATCCATCAATTAACATATCAAATCAAATTTTATGTAGGTGCTTAACAATGTAAAAAATGTAAAAACAAATTAAATAGGCAAATCTTGTCGGTCGTTTTCTATAAAATTTGTTAGAGCGAATTTTTGTTGTGTTTCTAAAATGCAAGGATGAAATTAATATTTCTCTATGTCACTAATAAAATTAAAGTTCCTGATAAAAATGAGAGTAATAAAATACTATACAAGTGTCACTGTAAAGAAATGCTAAAATACTCGTAGAACCGACAGAATTCTTGAATATAATTATAATATAAAGTAACTCGTTTAATAACTTATTCTTTTAATTTTTATTTTTATGTATTTTCTTTCACCTTTTTTTTTTTTTTTTTTTGCGAATTACGTAAATCACTCTGGCACCAAGAGCGGATTTGCTTAAGGTTTAGTTAAATTTGAGTACAGTCGCTTCTAAGTATGTGGCTTATAAAAAGAAAAAAAAAAGATTTCCTGTAATAATTTATAGAGTAGAAATGAAAATATCGACATGCTTAAACAGTAACGATGAAGTACATTAAACATCTGAGCCAAACATTGTTACTTAGTAAAGCTATGCTTAGTTTAGAATCAGGTTACGTGGTATTTAGTGAGGATTGAACTCATTAGCAATGATCAACCAGACTCGATTGAGCTCGATCGGAGTTTGGCGCCTCGATGTGGAGTAATGCTTACTTTACCCCACTTCGAGGCGCCAACTATCGTCACCTGTTACTTGCAGATGCCACTTGGCAGAACTTGAGCGAGTTTCCACTTGTTTTGTAAGTGAACAAATGGTCACTTTAAGAAGATGGCGGTTGTAGTTGTAATGAATTTGCGGGAAAAGACAGGATTAAATAATGAAAGTTTGAAAGATTATAAATCTTTGGCGTCATGAGCTTAAGAACATTTTTTTTTTTATGAAATATGTATAAAAGATTTAGAGTTAAACATTCAAAATAAACATGATAGAATAAATAAAACGAATACTGGGGTCTAATTTTACAAAAAAACACATTGCAGTGAAATACTGGCGATGTTTTTGCAGCGGTTTCTTTGATAATTTAAGAAACTGAAAAATAGATGTTAAAACGGACAACTTAAAAAAACATACTGTCTGATCTCTCTTTCTCTTTCTCTTCCTTTCTCTCTCTCTCTCTCTCTATATATATATATATATATATATATATATATATATATATATATATATATATATACACACATACACACAGATATATATATATATATATATATATATATATATATATATATATATATATATATATAAAGGATAAATATTCAGGCAAATGTATTTAAAAAAGTAAGTTGTTAAAAAATAATACAATTAAATATTATAGGAAATAAAACGAAAAATATGAAGAAAGTTAAAATTACATCAAAATATTTTCCGTTTTCCAGAACGGCAGCATTTTTTTTTTTTTTTCGACACGTTGTATTATTTTTCTTGTTTGCACAGAAAGCAAATAATACTATAACTGCATACACGTCTTAAAACG